GTGTGTTCTGGGGTGATCCGTTTTACAAACGAAACAGATGTATTAAGGACCTGGAAATTACATCCTAAAAACCATCTATGTTGTGTCCCTCTTGGAGAGTCGCCTTGAGAGCATGGGTGCCCCAGCTTAAAGATTTCAAGACCCTGCTCAAATGCACACTGCTGTGCCAGGCTTCTCACAGGACTCTCAGCTGGGCATGTGCCTCTGAACCCCCAGCATTTTCTTGCTCTGCTTTGTGTGGGACTTAACTCTTTCTGCCTTAAGACCGCACTGTTCACCCACCTTCATGCCACCACCCTTATTAAACAGTACAGAAGCCAGTGTTTCTCACCAAAAAAGTCTCCCTACCATAAACAACTTTTGAAAGAGTAGTGACACCAAACTGCATTTATAAATAGGAATTTATCCTCCCATTTAAAAAAAATTAAAGTCACACTGTGGGAGTACAGTTTCTCACATATATAGGAAAACAGTAGAAGAAAGCTTTAAATAGAGACAACTGCCTTTCTGACTGGAAGGGGAAAAGCTACCTTCACATACTGCACATCAAAATACACTCTTGATGAATAACAAATTTAATATGAATAATGAAATCCCACAAGTACTAGAAACCCAGATACATAAGTGTTACAACTTTGAGCTGAGGGACAGGCTATTCCCAGACCTCTGGGTTGCTCAGATGTCCCTTCTGGAGGCTGTCTGGTTGTTTACACTAAACATTAAATATGCTCAACCCAGATCAACTATACATTTTTCCTATAAATTGTTCTGTAAGGATTTGTAGGTTGCTTAGACATCATCAATTGGCCATACTTAATTAAATGGCCTCACTTAATCTGTGATTGGTTTTTAATCTCTATAATCACATTGGTCCATAAGGTCTCTTGTGAGATGGAAAAAAATCTCTCTTACAAATTGTTTTCAAATATATTGTTTGTGAAGACTGAATTTAATAATTAATAAAGCTGATATAATGCTATGTTAATAGACATTTAGTTAAAATAAACATTGTTCACGTTTAGTAATTTTCTTTTTGTTTTCTAGAGCAAAAAGTATTTTATTTTAGGTTTCAAGTATTTTCATAGGTTTCTGAGAATCTCTCAGGCCCAATGCCTGTGATCAGTGTTTACTGAATAATATGGCCTGAGTAAATATTTTTGCTACATGAAACCCAGACACTGTAAAGGAAATAACTAATGGACCTGAATACACAGAAACTTAAAATTGATAAATTTGAACATATAAAAATTTAAAACTACTGTATCCTCACCACCACATAAAGACTATATACAAAAGTAAACCACAAACAAGGGAAAAGTATCTGCATGCCTGTCACAGACAAGAGCCAATGTCCTTAATAGTTAAGCTTTTACAAATCATAATAAAAAGCTGAATAATCTCCAAAAGAGAAAAAGATAATTTATAAAATAAGACATTCTAGTAGTCAATAAAGGTATGAAAATATGCTCAAAATCACCCTTAGAGAAAGTCAAATAAAAACATCAAAATACTGTTTTCTCTACTTATCACTTTGGCAAATAATAAAAAGATAAACAATACCTATTATTTTCATGGGTGTGTGGAAATAAGTATTTTCATGCATGAAGGCATATAAATTTGCACAATTATTTTGAAGGGTACTTGCCAGCATCTATTAAATTTTTAAGTGTAAATTTTAAATTTTCTTTCACCCAGAAAATCTATTTCTAAAAAGTTTCAGACAAGTGCACAAAGATCTATATTACTGAAGTACTGAAACTTGTGTGCAACTAAACATACATCAATGAGACAGCATTTAAATAAATTATGAAATCAATACGCAAAATACTACAGTCTGCCGTTAAAAAGCACAAAGTACGTTTATACATTTTAACATGTAAAGAAAACCTGAAAAAAGCAAGTTACCAAACAGTATACTTGCACATTGTTTGAACTGTCTTACAATGGCCATGTACAGTATTATGTATCACTTACATAATTAAGGCTGTGTGTGGACATGTGTAACCACATGCATATAGAATTGGAAGGATAAACTGTTGACTCCTGAGAGAAAATTATGGGGAGCTTTCATTCTGCATTTTTCCTTTTTGAAATTCAAAACCAATGTTGCCACATTATTTTTCCTGTGCTCCTACTGGCTTGTAAGTTGCCACATTAATTTTCTCAACCAGCTCAAAGCAAATAAATATTGGTTGACTCTGGCTATGGATCTTCTCATGTCTACACTTTCTAAGTTTTGCTCTTTTCCACCCCTCCACCCCTCATTTCCTACTCCCCAGAGGGAATCATCCACCTGACTCTTTTATCATTTATCTCCGTAACTCTAAGTAATATTACTTATGTTGAAAAAGTTTTCAATTTTAAGCTTATCTATTGACACTAAGACCTGAAGGTCAGGGCCATCTCTTCCAAATCCCTGATCCTCTCAATGTAGCTTCATTATAGTTTTAGTTGGATCAATACCGGCTGTTTACGTTACAGGATTATGTGTTATTTATCATTAAACTACGTAGTATACAATAAGTACTTTCCTATGCCTGAAAACCTTTTTGCTTTCCTTGGAGCTAATGTTTTCTTTTGCTTAGTTCACTATTAATATATCACAAACTAAGCCCCAAACTTACCCCTGACCTTACTGTGTCTCTCTTCTCTCCAAACATTCAAACACATTGGTTATTTATAAATTTCTCTACTTGAAAAACATCTGGAATGTTCTGCTGTGTTCCAATCTGGACTGACTGCCTACAGGTGCACAGCTACTTTCTTGGCATCCTGAAAGATTCTTTATAGCTGCATTCTTTTCTTCTTTCTTTCTCTTTTTTTTTTGGAGATAGAGTCTCTGTTGCCCAGGTTAGAGTGCCATGGCATCAGCCTAACTCACAGCAATCTCAAACTCCTGGGTTCAAATGATCCTCCTGCCTCGGCCGCCCAAGTAGCTGTGACTAATGCCCAGCCAATTTTTCTACTGTTAGTAGAGATGGGGTCTCACTCTTGCTCTGGCTGGTCCTGAATTCCTGAGCTCAAGGGATCCTCTTGTCTCAGCCTCCCAGAGTGCTGGGATGACAGGCCTGAGCCACTATGCCCCCTCAGTATTTTTTTGCATTAAAGTTCCTAATGCCTCTTTCTTGGTTTACTTCCTCATTTTGGCAAAGTTCTTTCCCTAGCCTGACAAAGCGTTCATGGAGACCTTAAACATCTCAAAATGTCTCAACTTCATTTCACACTTAGTAGTATGGCTAGATATCAAATTGCAGAGTAGAAGAAACTTTCCCCCAGAATTTAAAGGGCATTGCTGTACTATCTTCGAGTTTCTAACGCTGCTGAAAAGTCTGGGGCCATTCTAATTCTTGTTTCTTTATTTGAGCCTATTTTTCCTCTCTGGAAGCTTATAGTGTCTCCTTTGTCCTCAGTTGCTCTGAAATTGTACGCTAAAGTGTCTGAAGTGTAGGTTATTTTCATAGAATGTTCTAGTCAATTGGTGGACTCTTTCAATCTGAAAAACTAGGTCTCTGTTGAGAATTTTTCTTGAATTATTATGTTGATAATTCCCACCTCTACTTTCACTTTTTTTCCCCCTTGATACTCTTATTATCTGGATCTTGGCCTTACATCCTTTAGTTTTCTTATTCTTTCCTTATTTCTTCATCTTTTGACTTATTTTCTTGGATGTGAGCTCAACTTTATCTTCCAACATTAACACTGGGTTTTTAATTTGCATTATCATATTTTTAATTCCCAAGAGTTCCTTTCTAATCTTTTTTTTTAATAGGCATAATACTTTTATGTCACAGATAGATTTCTTTTATCTAGAGATTTTAAATGTAAGTATTTATACATACTTTTTTCCTCTTTCTGTGTGGTCTCTGTTCTTCTTAAATGTATTTCTTCTGGTTTCATTTATTTATTTATTTCACCCTGGGTAGAGTCCCGTAGTGTCACAGCTTACGGCAACCTCAAACTCTTGGGCTTAAGTGATTCTCTTGCCTCAGCTCCCCGAGCAGCTGGGACTATAGGCACCCGCCACAATGCCCGGTTATTTTTTGGTTGCAATTGTCATTGTTGTTTTAGCAGGTCCAGGCTGGGTTCGAACCCACCAGCTTTGGTGTATGTGGCCGGTGCCCTACCCACTGAGCTACAGGTGCCACCTGGTCTTATTTCTTTCTTTACTTAATTTGTTTCTGTATATGAGAAGTTTTCCGCAAATGTCTTGTGGTTCTTGGTTGGCCATGTAGACTTAAAGTGGAACCCTCAAAAAAGTATTGAGAGCTCAGTGCATTTGGGTGGGGTCTGCCAACTATGACTCTCCCAGTAGGATGCTTGAGACTGGTCATTTTACTAAAAGATCTCCTGGGCTAGTCCTAAAAATCTCCAGGTAAGACTTCCAATATCCTGCCCAAAGGGTTATCCTAGACATTGGCATATTTTGGGACTCAATTTAGGAAGGAAAGTGGAGATCGCATCTGCATGCCTAGAGTCACTTATTCTTCTGTTTTCTGTATTGTACCACCCTCAACTGGGCCTGGTGCCCAAGTCTAGAGATCCTCTTTTTTGTTCTCTCCAGAGAATAAGCCTCAATCATGTAGCGAGGCTGGGGAGAGGCCAAATGCCAGCGGGAGGGACTAGGGGAGGCTAATGGGGGAAACTGGCTCTGTAAAAGATGTACCCTCTGTGTTAGGGCTTACCTTAGCAGTCTCTGAACTGCTAACTCCTGAGTCCCGAGCAGAGGTTTGGGTACAAACTGGGTCTCTTCTCAGCTTTCCCCAATACCAATTTCAGATTTAGTTCTCTCCACCAGTCATCACCCATCCACCTGCTTTTAGATTCCAAAACTTTGTTGCTGTTTCCCCTTACACATTCTTTCAAAAAGTCCCTTTCCTCTTGTTTTAGAAGGATTTGAGGAGATAGGAATAGACATGCTCCATCTGCCATCTTTAACTCAAGGTCTTTCAAGCACTGTTTTGGCCTTTAAAAAAATATTTTTCCTGAACAAGTCATATATGATTCTTTTGTAAGGATCATAAACGTGATGATTGGGTATTCACATGCATGTGTGAGACGTGCCTCTCTCAAACCTTGTTATGGCTTCGGCACATTACCTGACGAAGAAAAGGAGTAATATATGCTCACATCAGAAAATTTTATAAAATATACAGAATATAATTTTGATGTTTCCATGACCAGTTTTTTTTTTTTTTTTTTTTGAGACAGAGTCTCACTATGTTGTCCTTGGTAGAGTGCCAGTGGCATCACAGCTCACAGCAATCTCAAACTCTTGGGCTTAAGCGATTCATTCTCTTGCCTCAGCCTCCCAAGTAGCTAGGACTACAGGTACCTGCCACAACGCCTGGCTATTTTTTTTTTGTTGTTGTTGTTGTCATTGTTGTTTTAGTAGGCCCTGGCTGGGTCTGAAACCACCAGCCCCAGTGAACCCTAATCACTCAGCTAGGGAGCAGAGTTTGACCAGTTTTTTTCTATCTTTTGTTTACACCATTGGCCTCACATGACATTTCCCATTTGTATGTTGACGAATCTCCCCTTTCAGTTGGACCATTCATTAACACTTCAAACAAGCTTTAGCAATCCCTATCTTAAGCAAATAAGAACCCCTCCCTCTGCATTCCCACTGCCCCTTACAGCTAACTTTCTCACCCCACAGTCAGCATGTGCTATCTCTACTTCCTCACCTGCCACTCACCCACTGATCTCCACCTCCACCAGGCCACCACCGTTTCTCAATTTGTAAGCCCAGTGGACAACATTCCAGTCTCCAAGTCACTGAACTGCACAGAATTCAGTATTTTTGACCCTACTCCCTCCTTCTGGAAATACTCTTCTTTTGAAATACCGAATGAAGCCCCATCTTCCTTTTCCTGCTACCTTCTTGGATGCTCTTCCTGTTTCCCTTGATTTCACTGATTCCTCTTTTCTTTCCTACAAGAGTGGTTTCCAACCCTGGATGCACCTCAGAATCACAGTGGAAACTTTTTAAAAAGTACTAATACTGAGCAGTGCCTGGGGCTCAGTGGGTATAGCACCGGCCCCATATGGGGGATGGGTTTGAACCCGGCCCTGGCCAGACTGCAACAAAAAAAATAGCCAGGCATTGTGGCGGGTGTCTGTAGTCCCAGCTACTCGGGAGGCTGAGGCAAGAGAATTACCTAAGCCCAGGAGCTGGAGGTTGCTGTGAGCTGTGATGCCACAGCACTCTACGGAGGGCAATAAAGTGAGACTCTGTCTCTTAAAAAAAAAAACGCCTGGGCCCCACCCCAATCACTATATCCTAAACCTCCAAATCTGCCCCCAAGTCAGGGCTCTGCAGGACATGGCTTGTGTTCTCCTCTCCAAGGACTGAGTAACCTAACTTAGTCTAGCCTACTCATGCTGAAATTTCCAAATGTCTCAATGACAAGTGTCTCCAGCTCAGACCTCTTTCTTTGAACTTAACTTTATTCAGCTGTTTCCTCAAAAATTCCTCTTTGATGTCTCACAGGGATCTCAGATCTAACATGCTCAAAGTCAAATTCTCATCATTTCTATAAATCTGAACCCTACATTGTCTTCTATCCTCCCTATTACTTAAGCCAGAGGCATCTCTCTCTCCCTCCTGTTCAGCATCCAATAGTCACTGAGTCCTTTCTCTCACTACCAACAGTATCTTGCAAATAGTCACTTCCCTCCTTGGCTATGCCACCGTGTCCTATCTGAAGACAAAAAGAACCTCCAGCCATTCTCCTAGCTCCCAGACTTCCTTCCCACTAATTAGTTTTCCTTGGAGCAGCTAGAACCTTACTTTATCTTTAGCTTTCCACTAAAAATTCCATGTCCTCAAAGGGGCCTTTTCTGATCTCCCAAACTCAAGGGCATCTTCCTTGATGTGTATCTTAAAGCCCTGGATGCTTTTTGTCTTAGCTCTGCCACAGCTGGTGACTGTGTTTTTATGCAGATAGAGCATTTGGGTTGATAACATCAGTCTCTCCACTGGAGTGTAAGTCTGAGGCAAGGACCTCTGGGGCACATAGTTCCTGACACAATATCTGGTACAAAAAATATCTGATGAACTAAATAATAAACACTCTAGTGAAACTTATAGCATCAAAACCCTTTATAAATGTGATCTAAGTGGCAGTATGACAGTGTATTGAAACATGTTTACTTGTACATCTTAATCCATAATTTTGGATTCTTTTTCATGCTATAGATTCTCAGAGAGAAAATTAGGAGCTCAAATGTATGAGCATTTTAAGTATTTAAAATACATTTTAAGACTAGAATGCATCAGATTGCTTCTAAAAAGGCTGAAACTATGCACACTCTGAGTGGCAATGTATGAGATTTCAGCCACACCTTCTAATTTGTCACATTCTTGGCTAATTTCTTAGGTGAAGATGCCACCTGGCTTCTCCTGGCCTCCATGGCTACCCTTGTAGGCCCATGAATAGGAGCCCCTGTTCTGAGGATTTTGGTGCAGGGTTGATAATTGAATTATCTTGGGATATCTTTGGGAACTAAACCATAAAACTGTCATGTTTGGTATAGATAGAATTATGAAACGGCCCAATATTCTAGACTTTTCTTCCCTGGTGTGGTACCTTTGGGTTGAGCACAGGGCTGGCTTTGCTGCCATCTGGCTAAGAGAGAAGATGCATGAACAGAGAGGCTACCCACTAGTGTGTCTGAGGTTCTGGTATCTGCAGTTCCACAGAACCATCCTGCTATGGCAAGACCAGGGCCTTTGTCTAGCACGGAGGTGTGAGCTGAAGGCCAGTTCTGTACAGTGATGGCTCCTACATCCTTCTCTGTCCTCCCTACCACTGCAGGCTCCAAGGGGCTGAAGGTGGTGAGTGGACAAATGACACATTTCAGCCATAAAAGGAAACTTCTGTAAGGTCATCACTTCCCAGAAGGAGCTAAGGCCATGGTTGTACAGGTGCCATAGCAAACCCTACCCAGGGCAGAGAGGACTGGGGTTTTTTGGCTTTTTAATTGGCCACATTCTGTGGGAGGCCCACCTGTGATAAGGAGGTGAAAAGTAGCCAGAGAAAGGGGATTGATGCTCTTGCATCCATCCCTTCTAAGAAAATGCTAAATGAACCACAAAGCCCCAATGGGACATTAGACTATTGTACGATTTTTACCACAAAACCTCTCCTGAATTCTCATTCTTTGTCTCCCAAGCTTGCTTTCTGACTTCTATCTTGAATCTCTCTATTCCCACTTGATCCTTGTTTCTGGATGTAGCCTCTCAAACTTTTAAGGTACAGAATGATTTTCCTCCGACCAAAAGATCACCCTGCCATGTGCCACACTCCTTTGCTTTTAAATTCATCCTTTCTGTCTACCAGAATGAATTCAGGGTTAGACCTTCACTCTGATTTAAATCTCTAGGTACATCCTTAGAAAGTGATGACACTGGATTTCTTTGGGACATGCCAGCACTTATATTATCTCAGGGTCTGTCTTTCCCCTGAGCTACCGTCTCACTTAGTACATGGGGCTGACATTACCTAGTGAATGTTCCTAGAACATCTCCTTGGAGCCAGTTTCTAGGCTCAAAATCCATGATATTAACTTATAACAAGACCTGAGCATTGGCCCCAAACTGAGGTCTCCAGCTGGATCATCTTTTTCAATAGACACAATCTCCAATGATATTCAGCCACTCTCACATTTCATGTATGCCCACAAGAGACGAGGATCTGCTTCCACTGAAGACCATGAAATTAAGTGATGCACATCCAATCTCGATTCTAAAACAGGGGCTCCAAAAACTAACTATGCCCCAGGAAAGTGCCTCACAGTGCTCTGGCTGCTGTGAATGCGATGACGCCCCACACACAGCAACAGGAGCTGGTCTTCACTGAGCCACTGCAACGTGCCCATCACCACGCCAGGCCCTAAGATTAGATATTCCCACCAGTCCTATTTTATAGATGAGGAAACTGAGATTTAAAATGATGGAGCAACCAAAATCATACCACTTGTAAGCAGAAAAGCTGGATTCACATGTAGGCAGCCAGACACCAGAGTCTGTGCTCTAATTAGCCATACCTGCAGCATACAGCTGACTCCACCTAACCGCCTAACCCAGACACTGTCCTGACAATAATGCATGTAGGATGTTTCCGGTAAAGTCCACTCTGTCTCTTATCCTTCCAATGACCATCTGCGGGACTAAGGGATGTAGCACTTCTTTGAGAAGCTCCAGGTGGCATAAGCACAAGTGACTGCCTGGCAAGTGGCTGCCTTTCTTTGAGTTCCTTGCTTTATTTTCTGCAAAGAGTGAGCTGACACTATTTACCAGTAAAATGGGCCTCGGGTGACCATGGAGGCCCTAAGCAGGTCCCAGTACCAGTAGGCCTTCTTTCTGCACACAGGTAGTAAAATACCCCTTCAGGGTCTACCCTGGATTGCGATGCCTTATGCTGGGGCCACCTGTTAGCCACTCACCTGCACTGGGATCTGTGGGTGCCTCGCCCTCCTCAGAGTCCTCCTGTTCCTGCATGGCCGGCCTTTCCCCACGCTCCATCTGTGACATGAGGTCTGGTTTGGAAATTGCATAGTCTGGGCAGAAGAAAGGAGAAGAAATGGAATGAGGTTGCACTGGATATTGTAAAGTGTCATCTGTGGGTGTGGTACCAGGAACAGCTCCTCCACTTGGGACTAGCAATGTTGGAAAACAAATGGCCCAGGGTCCACCCTTTTCCTCAGGGGTGTGTGTGTGTGTGTGTGTGTGTGTGTGTAGCAGGGGGGTGGGAATCATGTTGCTCACAAGTGGCTGAAGCCTGCCCAGGTCTCTCATGACCAAGGCAAAAGATATTTGAAATTTTGTTTTTTGGAGACAGAGCCTCAAGTTGTCCCCCTGGGTAGAGTGCCGTGGCATCACAGCTCACAGCAACCTCCAACTCCTGGGCTCAAGCAAGTCTCCTGCCTCAGCCTCCCAAGTAGCTGGGACCACAGGCGCCAGCCACAATGCCCGGCTATTTTTTGGTTGCAGCCGTCATTGTTGTTTGGCGGGCCTGGGCTGGATTCAAACCCGCCACCTAAGGTGTATGTGGCTGGCGCCTTAGCCACTTGAGCCACAGGCACCAAGTCTGAAATTTTA